CTTTCTTTCTTTCTAACTTTCCTTCTTTCTAACTTTCTTTCATTCTAACTATCTTTCTTTCATTCTAACTTTCTTTCTTTCTTTCTTTCTTTCTTTCTTTCTTTCTAACTTTCTTTCTTTCCTTCTTTCTTTCTTTCTTTCTAACTTTCTTTCTAACTTTCTTTCTTTCTTTCTAACTTTCCTTCTTTCTAACTTTCTTTCATTCTAACTTTCTTTCTTTCTTTCTTTCTAACTTTCTTTCTTTCATTCTAACTTTCTTTCTTTCTTTCTAACTTTCTTTCTTTCTTTCTTTCTAACTTTCCTTCTTTCTAACTTTCTTTCTTTCTAACTTTCTTTCTTTCTAACTTTCCTTCTTTCTAACTTTCTTTCATTCTAACTTTCTTTCTTTCATTCTAACTTTCTTTCTTTCCTTCTTTCTTTCTTTCTTTCTTTCTTTCTTTCTTTCATTCTAACTTTCTTTCTTTCTTTCTAACTTTCTTTCTTTCTTTCTAACTTTCCTTCTTTCTAACTTTCTTTCATTCTAACTTTCCTTCTTTCTAACTTTCTTTCATTCTAACTTTCTTTCATTCTAACTTTCTTTCTTTCCTTCTTTCTTTCTTTCTTTCTTTCCTTCTTTCTTTCTTTCCTTCTTTCTTTCTTTCTTTCTAACTATTTCCTTCTTTCTAACTTTATTTCATTCTAACTTTCTTTCTTTCTTTCTTTCTTTCCTTCTTTCTAACTTTCTTTCTGTCCTTCTTTCTTTCTTTCTTTCTTTCTTTCCTTCCTTCTTTCTTTCTAACTTTCTTTCATTCTAACTTTCTTTCTTTCTTTCCTTCTTTCTTTCTTTCTTTCTTTCCTTCCTTCTTTCTTTCTAACTTTCTTTCTTTCATTCTAACTTTCTTTCTTTCTAACTTTCTTTCATTCTAACTTTCTTTCTTTCTAACTTTCTTTCTTTCTTTCTTTCTAATTATTTTTATATTAATCGACCGCTTGATGTGATTTTAATCAATCCGCAGCTGCTCAGTGGAGGATGCAGCAGTATACCAGGCTTCTGCCATCAACCTGAAAGGCATCGTGTCGTGTTCTGGGGTGCTGGAGGTCGGAGAAATGAACGAGTTCAAAATCCACCAGCGCTATTTTGCCAAGCTGAAGCAGAGGGCCGAGAACAGAAGCAGGGAATCAAAAGATAAAGAGAACCAGGAGCGCCATCGGACTGCCAGTCCAAACCGAACACAGAGGAAATGCCGCTCTGAGATGGAGGTCGTTATCAGCACACCGAGTCCTACAGGGGAGGAGGCGGGTCCTCGGGCTGAGGCTGGGCTGCAGGAGGCCATGATGGAGGAACCAGGTAGAAAAGCAGCTCCAGCCTCTGATGGTGCAGAGTCCGCCAAGTCAAACGGACAAACGAGCAAAGGCGGCAACAGTGAGAGTAAAACGTACGTGAACGATCCTGCTCCAAACAGCAAACATCAAGCACAAACTACTTTTGTTAGTAAGAAAATAAAAATTTCCAGTAGTGCAAAAGTTCCCAAAGCTGATGCTGTGGTGAGGAGTGCTTCCAGTGAACGGACGACGGAAAGTGAGACTCCTCCCTCCGTTACTCAGGCGGCCGTGCAGGTCAACAGGAATCCAGAAGTTACGGAACTAAAAAACAACCTGAACTCAGCAACTGACTTCAAATTAATCAAAACAGAAAATGAGATATCAGCAACAAAGGAAGCAGCGTTTGGTAAAAGTTCCTCAAAGGATGAAAAACCCGCTGCTTCAGAGTCTCGTGTTGCTGCATGTTCAAGATTTACTCAGGCTGAAAATAAATACAGAAAATGGCAAAAGCACGGGAGGGACGGTGGTCACCCAGATGCTGAAAAACAAACTGAAACAAGGAACCCAATCCCACCCGTCCCCTCGATGCAAAAACAAAGCACCAAATCAACAAATCTGAACCTAAAGAGGGAAATTCATGCAACAAAACAGTCTACAGCCATGGACAATGGCAGGAAGTCAACAGCATCATTCGCTGAACGCTTCACGCGCAGTTTCAGTCACAAGTCACCTGATATCAGAACTGTTTTAACTCAAAGTCCACCAGAAGTGGCTGAAAGTCAAAAGTCTGAAACAGAAACGAGCCAGCAGTCTGCGTCTCCACCTGCCGTGCCAGGCGAGGTGAGTGAACATTCATGCATGAGCTCATGGGTGCTTTGTGCTGCCAGGACAAGCCTCCTAAGCAACACAGGCATCCCGACGCTAATTATATCTTTTACAAGCATGCCTGTGCTGACAGGAAATGACGCATGTGCTGACACAACAGTCGCGATGATGCAACCCTTTCATGTAAGGTCGGCCCTCTTTCGGTCATTACTGCTGTTTATTCTTCAATCTGCCTTTCTTGGAATGTGAAACATCAAACAAATGGAATCGGCAGGTCTCACCTTTCCCCCTAAAACAAGCAGGACACAATTAAACCAGCTTCTTAGGGGAAACTGATCATATAAATAGTAAACATTGTCATTTAAATAACTGCTCCAATCCCATGCAAGCACTGCTTTAAAAATCAGCAGCTGTCTCCTGCAGGAACATTTCTGCAGGATTGACGATGAATTACTCCATATTTTAAAAATATTGTTCACATGAACCCTTGGGACATTTATACCGTTAGAAGAAACCTCAGATTAGCAGCTAGCTGGTTGCTATTTCTCCAATAATTGACCCAAATTGAGTTAATTTCACAGCTTTCCTGACAACTTTATATTTCACAGCAGAATTTGTTTTATTTTCTAATTGTTGAATAATATTATCCCACGTACTTACCTGTGGGTAGGTTTATGACAACCCATTTTATTCCACTTTCGTTCAGGGAAGAATTAACTTTTGTTAGGTCTTTAATAAATTCTTTGCCTTCTGACACGTAGACGGCTCCAAGTCGTGGGGCGGGATTTACTGGGACAGCAGTAGCTCAGGAGGTCTAGCGGGTTGTCCAGTAATCGGAAGGTTGCAGGTTCAATCCCGGCTTCGGACAGAGAATTATGCTGTTGTGTCCTTGGGCAAAACACTTAACCCACGTTGCCTGCTGGTGGTGGTCGGAGGGACCGGTGGCGCCTGCGCTCTGCAGCCTCGCCTCTGTCAGTGCGCCCCAGGACAGCTGTGGCTACATCGTAGCTCATCACCATCAGTGTGTGAATGGATGAATGATACACTGTAGTGTAAAGCGCTTTGGAGTCCTTACTCTGAGAGGTGCTATACAAGTGCGGGTCTTTTATCATTTACTGTTGCCTTTCAAACTTTCTCCACCTGCTATTGGACAACAAACAACGTGACATACTGCTGATTCTGGACGATAAAACAACAGCAGCCCTACCCATCACGAGTCAGTTTAGTTCAATTCAGTTTATTTACATTGCGCCAAATTATGACAAGTCGTCTCAAGGCACTTCACATAGTAAACATTCCAAAACAGGTCAGTTAATTAAAGAGCAAGTCACCCCCTACCAGAGTCTTACTCCACTCCCACTTCCTGTTTGAAAAATGCAACAAATGCTGTTGCCTAGCAGTCCGAGAGGGCGGAGCCGCTAACAAATACACACACAGGCTCACAGAGACATTGTGACATCATAATGTACCAGCTAACGTTCTGGGGTACCTCTTAGCCAATAGCGATGGCAGATTAAAATTCAAATGCAGTGAAGAGTTTTTACCTGACAATAACACAACACTGGCAGAAAATTAAAATTTTTACTAAAATGCACTAAAGTGCAAAACTACACGTGCCTGCAGCACGATTAGACACTCATTTATATAGTTTATCTGAAAAAAATAAGTTGATTTGGGGTGACTTGCTCTTTAAACCTTCAGTAAAAAGTTTCCTACATAAGGAAGCCAAGAGGTTGCATGGAGTCACTGACTAGTGTCTTTACAGCAATCCTCCTACTAAGCAAGCATGCAGCGATAGTGGAGAGGAAAACTCCCTTTTAACAGGAAGAAACCTCCAGAGGATCCTGGCTCAGGATAAGCAGCCATCCGCTGCAACGTAGATCTGTCAGGATTTTCTAATCCTAGAGTTTTTATCGTCAATTTTCTATCAGAAGCTCATGCAGGAGATCGGTGTCGGTAGGGATGGGTACCTTTGACATTTGAATCGATTCGGTACTAATTCCCGGTACCTAGGAATCGATACCGGTACTTAACGGTACCAATTTTAAATACTTTTGAGTGTTTAATATTTTCATTCTCTTTTATAATTAAATATATATTTTTCTCAATATATAACGATATTTGATAAATATCACGATAAATAACATACAACTGTTTGTATTTTAACGTCGTCCTTGTAGTTTTATAAGCTGATAATTAAACTGAAGCAAAGATCTTTACTGTGAACTAAATTTACTGTGTATCTTCATTCATTTTGACGTCCTTTTTCATTTGATTTTTCCTACTGGGAAGTTAGAATTTCCGAGGAGAAAGCGAACGCACCATTAACTGATAACAATGGTGGCAATGGAAGCTAACATATCAAGCTAACGTTATCTTAAACAGTTTATTTAGCTGCTGGAGCAGATTAAAACGATGATACCTCACACTTAGATCGTTGTCGCTGTTTCATCTTCACCCAATCACCCGTTGCATTTAGTAAAGTGAAGCCAAACTTTAGAGCGCGTTCATGTTCTTCTAGTCGGAAATTCGGAATTCCGAGGAGAAACCGAACGCACCATTAGCGGAACGGAAGCTAACATATCAAGCTAATGTTATCTTAAACATTTTATTTACCTACCGGAGCAGATTAAGATGAGGATGTCTCACTTAGATCGTTGTTGCTGGTTTCATCATCACCCAGTTACGCATCACATTTAGTGAAGTGGACCCAAGCTTTAGCGTTCGTTCTTTCTACCATCCTGCTCTGTTTACAACTCGCTCGCAGCGACCGACGTAACGCTCTTGCGCATGCGCATCTGTCTAGGCAAGTTCTTGTTATGAAGGACGGGTACCGAAACGAGGCACCGTTCCAAATGACGTGAATCGGTGCTCAGACGGTACTATGGAATCCGGTCGGTACCTTAAAAAGTGCCGAATTTGGTACCCATCGCTAGGTGTCGGAGACTATTTTCATGTTCAGGCTGCATTAAAACCTCAGAGTGACCCATTAGAATCAGAAATAATAATTAAGAAATGGTTTTTCAGTCAACCACACCTAGACTTAAACAAAAGCTCAAGTCTAAATAGTCCAAAGTTGATGCAATAGCCATTTCAAACGAGCCATCTAACCCTGCATCATCCCGCCCATCACACCGATAGACAGCTGTGATTGGCACAACACAGAACTGCTCAAGCCAATAGTAGACCTGCTGAGGCTCCTTCAGAGCGTGGCTAGACCAACAGACAAAATCATTTAGTTTTGGCTACTGTTCGTCTACATTTATAGGCTACTTTTCTGTTGCTCGAGGAAACAAAACAGTACCTGGCAAAAATGCTAGAAAAAACAACAATTTTCAGACAAACATCCACACTTAAAGTCAATAATTTCTCCTTCTTCTGGTTTACATCTTAGTTCTTTTTGTTCAAAAACATCAGCAAACTAGAAGGGCCTAGACGTCAGAAGGTTATTTTTGCTTGCTGTGTTGGAACACTTAACATGATCTATAGCAAAATCACCTCTGTGAAACAAAGTTTTGTAAACAAATAACCTCATCAGAGGCGGTGTGTCCCGCTGTGAGTTGGGGGAGGTTGGGACCGAAGATGCAGACCCAGGATGACACAAGGCAGGAGTGGTGGAAATGTAAAAATCCTTTATTTAGTGGTAAACCCAAAGGGCTGGAAGCCAAAAACCAAAACCCTAGAATCAAAACCTGGGAACATCCAAAAACACAAGAGACCTAGAGAAATTCCTAATACCTAGAGAGGAGGCGAGACAACGTTGATACAAACAACGGACCAACAACCACACTGAGACACAGACAGGGTTATATACACAAGGGCTGGGTGATTAGGGAATTGTGCACAGGTGAGACCAATAAACAGAGGAGAAGCACAACGGAGCAGGGGAGGAAACCAGACCTAAAAATGGGGAAGGGAGCAAAATGAACTAGAGGGATAAAACAGACATGATAAGAAGAAGAAAGTATAATTTCTATAGCGCCTCTCAAGATAAAAATCACAAGGCGCTTCACAAAAACAAAAAATGTAAAAATATAAAAAAAGCTTTTAGAAAATGTTTAAAAATATATTTAAAATGAGCAAAAATAGGCAATTTTGATTAAAAAATGTTAAGAAAGAGAGAGAGTGAACTAGCCTAGTGAACTAGACCAAATTCTTGCTTTGCAAAGTTTGGTCTAGGCATGCTCCATTGGAACCTCCACAGCTCCTACCAGGACTCTGGCTAGCCAATCACAGCTCTCTAGAGGGGTTTCAAACACATAAAGAGCTGTGATTGGTCCATAATGGTGGGCCAATCATAGTGCTTTATCTGCTTAGTGAATAAATCACAGAGCTTTATCCGCTTTGTGGGCCAATCAGGGCACTCTATATGCCTGGTGGGTGGGATGATGCAACAGAGTCACATTCATTGTCCAGTGGAATGCAGAGATCATTTGAAAGACAACGGTAGAACCCGGCCCACAACCGAAAGCCGTCAATGGAGCATGGCCAGACTAAATAATACATTTATTTAGTCTGGCTTGCCAGGCTAAGAGTGAACAGGAAAGAGGGAAATCAGTGGATCCTGAGGAAGGTGGAATAGGTGGGGAGAGCAGAATAAAGAGAGAGTGGTGAAGAAGGTCATACAAAAGCCAGCGTGAACAGGTGAGGCTTCAGCTGCTTTTTAAAGGAGACCACTGAGTCCACTGATCTCAGGCTCAGAGGGAGAGAGGTCCAGAGTCTGGGGGCCACAGCAGCAAATGATCTGTCACCTTTGGTCTTTAGCCTGGTGCTGCACAACCAGTAGGCTTTGATCACTGGACCTCAGGGACCTGCTGGGGGTGTAGGGACTAAGAAGATCACCAATGTAAGATGGTGCTTGTCCATGTAAGGCCCTATAGACCAGAACCAAGATCTTGAAATGAACCCTGATGAAACACTTAACTGAAGACTAATGATAAAAGGTGTCTAAGGAAAAACGTAAGGGAAACCTAGAGAGCCTGGAGGGGGTTGGGGACACACAGGGACGCTGAAACCTGGGGGAACACCTAAGGGGAAAAAACCTGGAGTGGCCTGGGGAACACAAAGAGACACATGAGGGAGACACAGGACGCAGACCATGACACGGTGTAGGTTAGACATGCAAAGACTCCCTTTGAGCTTTGACTTGGGTTAGGTGGCTGAAATGTGCTCCAGGGTCGGCTCACATCCGGCTAACGGTGAATCTCTTCCTGATTAATTCAAGTTGTTCTGATGGCAAACCGCTGCTCATAACAGAAACTCACCTAAGAATCCAAACTTTACGTAATAATTGTTTACTTTCACCGTCAGTAAACAAAGATTTATTTTTCAAAAATGTCCTAATTTTTATTTATGTTTAAAATTGATAAGTGCATGAAAAACAACAAAAAAAGGGGGTGAGGTCCTCATGAATATTCATGTGACAGCTTCCTCAAAGACCATCATTATGGTAGCAAATGTCCTTCTGCGCCTCTTATGCAATCAGCCCGACGTCAGCCGAGGGAGAACTGCCAGAGCTCTACTTACAATACTTTACTTTACTTTCTGTAATGAAACCACAGAAACAGAAACTTTCTGTTGCAGTCGGTCATTTCCTGTCGGCGTTGGTAGAATCTAGTGTTTTAAAAGGTAGAAATCTCATATTTTGTTCAGTTTGCTTCTTGTTTGTTTAACGACTAATTTGTGTGTGGGTGGGGGGGGGGGGGGGGGGGGATTTTATTATTTAAAAAAAAGTTAACAAAAGTCAGATTTGATTGGGATTTGGCCAGCATGTGCATTAGTCTATTTTTAGTTCCTGCTTCATTTGACTTTAAAATGACTGATCTGGTTTCGGGGTAATTGAAAATCTACTTTAACACATGTTCAAGTTCAATTTTCACCATGGAAACGTGTTTAATTCCTGCTATATTCTGGAGTTAAAGCATAGCTGCCTTTCTGTTCTCCTCCGTGTTCGATTCTCTCTTTGTTGCTGACTGCTGTGTTGCTGTTTTTAAAACTGCATGTGTACTTCCATGTTTAGCAAAGCCTGGGATGAGGGCATAAGTATTTACAGCTTGCATTATATCCCAAGGTTACACCGGCTCATGCAGGGATGAACGGGAATGATGCACCTGTCAGCCCTGAGCCACCACCTGACGAGTGTGCGAACAAATCACATCCACCCCGAAAAACAGACGACATCGCGGCCTCCTGTTTGTGCGCTGGGCTTCGAACAACGTCAAGTGGTTCCAGGGAATTGAATGAAAGCCGTCCAGAAATGTTTAGTCCCCAAAAGAAGGCTCCTCTTGAGATCCCTGGAGGTGCTGAGAACCTCGCGGGGTGTAAGGTTTCTCCTGCCGTTCAGCAAAGCCAAGTTGATACAGCTATAAAAACTGTTGAAGGGACGGAGACACGAGATGTTGAAAAGGCGGAGGTTAGCAAAAAAAGTAAGTCAGACTCATGTGAGACACTTGAAACGAAGACTGCTGCTCAACTCGTGACTGAAGAAAATAAAACAGGACAGAAAAATGATTCAGGGAATAAACACTCCGGTGTGGCAGAAACAAAGATGGATGAACCCATTCCCACAGCGGAAGCAAAAAGCTGTTCAGATTTACCGAAACCAAAGTCAGACGAGCTTACAACGAGTCTCCCGGCTCTAAACTGGACTTCAGAAAACATCAAATCCAGGATTTATTCACCAAAACCTCCTAAGCCTGAACCAGAAGTGATTTCTATAGCTGAACTTCTGAGGTCTCAAATAAAAGCTCTCGAGTCACCAGTTCACCCTAACCTTGAACCAAGGCCTACAACACAAACTTCAAGAGGATCTCAGGATGTAATAAATGACAAAAACTATAAATCTGAAAGCAAAACCTTTAAACCCGATAATAAAACGGAGACTAGCATCAGAGATGCACCTGTCACAAATCCGAAGGCAACACTCGTGGTGATTTATCAGCAGCTGCATGAAAACGGAGCATCAGTCCCAGCCCAGGCCTCGAATGAAGCGCTGATCTCTTTGAAAGACACGGAGATCCATGAAAGAAGCACCAAATATAACAAAGCTGAGGTGGACGCTAATCGGGAAGCTGGACCTTTAAACAAGGTTCCTTCAGAAGGTTACTCTGTTATTTCTGATTCTGGGAGGACTAATGCAAAACAGGGTCCTTTTTATTTGTCTTCAAACAATGACAACAAACCTAAAACTGTTATTCCTCAGTCTCAGGTAACGGTAACTAGCGTGAAAACCGGTCCTCAAGAGAAAAACGCAAAGATTCTGGAGCTCAGCAGCAAAACAGCTATTAAAGGACATGACATAGAACTAAAACGTGCAAATAAAACCCTCAACAGCGAAATACCCTCTGAGGAACAGAGTACAAAAACACATTTTTATGAGAGTCAAACATCTGCCTGTGAAAGTAGACTCATCACCAACAAACAAGAAAATGGCATCCCACTGGTCCCACTGGAAAGCCCAAAGTCTGATGTTGTAATCAGTCCCACTCCAGAGGCTAGTCCACAATTAAAGAAGCATAACTGTGTGTCTCCCATTCCTTCTGCTACCACTCGAGAGCTAGCCTCTGGGGCACGCCGCAAAATCTCAACGCCCAAGTCCAAACCAGAGGAGGTCACGTCGTCCGCTGATGAGCAAACTCAGAAAGATGAGGCGGCTGTGAAAAGCAGCAGGATTTCCACAGCGGCTGCATCTCCTGGCTCGTCGAGGCGATCGCCCCTGCTGCAGCCGGCTGGAGAAACGAACTCTGGCGTTGAGAGGATTTCTCCCATCAGCAGAAGGAAGAGGGTGTCTGAAACTCAAACGCTAAACCTGACGATCCACACTGAGGGCAAACCTGCAGAGAAGACCAAACACAACCCATTCAAAGGTAAAAAATGGGGAGAGGGGAGCCTAGAGTAATGGTTTTTTTATGCTTCTTATAAAATCGTTTGCACAAATGAAATAACTAACATATATGGAAACGCATTAATCTGCTGAAAGTGAAAAAATGTTATTTTAGGGCAGTGGTTCCTAACCTGGGGGTCCCGACCCCCACAAGGGGGCGCCAAAGCCTCTCAGTGGGTCGCCAGGACCTCTCCACTTTAAGGGGTTAAAACTTCATTTATTACTTGTTTATAGCCTACATTTTGCTCAAATTTTTTTTCATGAGTGAGAAGTTTATTGATATTAAGACAGGAAATAATTAGTACAGAAAAAGTAACACACTTTTAAGAACATTTTGCTCAGCTTACTGTTTTATTTTCAAGTGTCAAAAGTTCATTAAAGATAGAACTGGTTGATTAATCACAGCGTTTACAGTAAATAATCTAGTATAAACAGTAATATACACATTAAGTACATTTTGCTCAGTGTATATTTTATGTGTCAAACATTTATTGAAAGGAATGATTGATTTATCAGTGTTTACAAGAAACAATGTGTTCAGAAAAGTAATAGTCAAGCACATTATACACTGTTTGGTTTTGTTAATGACTTTGTTCTGTACTACTATTACTGTTATCTATTGAATCAAAGCATATTAAAATGTGCTTGAACAATTTTATCAAGAGAGAATGGGAGGGGGTTGTCAAAAATTTTACTGGTAAAAAACGGGGTCCCTTGGGAAAAAGGTTGGGAACCACTGTTTTAGGGAACTAACGCATGCATATTTCATCTGAAAGGGTTAAAACAACTATTCGTCCAGATAAAAAGTAGACCAGTATGAATAAATTCTGCATCACTGGGGGACTGGTCTAGATACAAATCAGCACATAGGTCTTTTATTTGGCATTTTAGGCTGAATTAGCAGCAGCTAATTACATTGTAATCTATTTTATGTATCTACAGCTGACTGCAGACTCGTCTCATCTAGCCTGGAATAAAACAAATTTAATTCATCCGTGCAAATAAAAATGATATTTTCACCCCCATTGCTATTATAAAAACTGTAAAATACCAAAAACATTTCACTTTATCTTAAACTGAGAACATTTGTACTAAAATCACATCAATTAACACCGTGATCCCAATGTGTCCCATAATTACACGGATCCAGTCCACCAACCAGTAATGGCTTTATAATGGTAAAGTAGAATCTGGTGATTTTTGGCCAACAAGAGACTCTGTGTGCCGAAAACTCATCAAACTAAGAAGCAAACTGAGGAGGAATAAACATTCGGCCGTGTGCACACAGATGGAGGACACCTGGGGTTTCTTTGCAGAACATGAACGTGTCTTCACCGTGTGGTCCTGTTTGGCTCTTTTGTAGCTCCTCAGGTCATCCGTAAGATCAGAGCAGAGACCTTCTCAGATGCTTCAGGACACGTGAAACTGTGGTGCCAGTTTTTTAACATCCTTAGTGACTCAACTGTCAAATGGTACAAAAATGAAGAGGAGATTGCTCATTTCAAAAGAAGGTAAGTCCTCGGATCACCTCAAATATGTTTTTTAAAGGTGGGGTAGAAGATGTTTTCCTGGAACTATTTTTGCCATTTTGCATGAGATGTTGCTCACAAACCAAAGATGGAATAGCTGTAGTCCCCTAGGAAGCAAACGATCCTGGAAAATCTCATCCAATCATTGTGAAAGTCCCGTTCTTACTGATTGGTGCCTGACCCACACATCGCACTGCCCTATGACCGCCCCACCCCCCTCTGCACACTTAACCGAGTACTTACAGTGCGTTCGATTTTCCTCGGAAGTCGGAACTCGGAATGACGGCACACCCGAGTTAACAGCGTTCTGGTTGCCGGAGACGGAGAAGTCGGGATTCCAATAAGGCGACGCCCTCGAAAACTTGGCTTTCAACGAATACAGACGACTCATAAACACACATAAAGCTCTTCTTCAAAAAATATTCGAAGAGAGACAAAGACGATCTAAAACAACACTTTTAGATTGTTCAGCTTGGAGTTGCAGGCGCTACATATAACATTGATTTAGATGCACTCTTAGAAGTGTGTCTTGTAAATGGTAAATGGCCTGTATTTGATATAGCGCCTTCTAGAGTCCTGGAACCCCCCAAGGCGCTTTACAACACAATCAGTCATTCACCCATTCACACACACATTCACACACTGGTGGGGATGAGCTATAACGTAGCCACAGCTGCCCTGGGGCGCACTGACAGAGGCGAGGCTGCCGAGCACTGGCGCCACCGGTCCCTCCGACCACCACCAGCAGGCAACGTGGGTTAAGTGTCTTGCCCAAGGACACAACGACAGCGACAGACTGAGCGGGGCTCGAACCTGCAACCTTCCGATTACGGGGCGAGCACTTAACTCCTGTGCCGCCGTCGCCCCAAATAAATGTAAAATAAACACATTTCAATCAAAACCACCGTTGTTGATATGGAGAGCTGCCATTTTGGATCTCGAAGTCGGGGTTATGAAAATTTTCCGAGTTTCCGACTGGGAGATCCGACGGGGGGGGAGGGGTCATTTGATTTTTCCTACTCGGGGTGGGGATTTCCGAGTTCCGAGGACAAATCGAATGCACTATTAACCCAGTTCAGGTACTCAGTTGGTTCCTGTAATTGGAAAATGGTTGTTTTCGAGACACGTGTGCCACAAAGGTCCGATAAAATCACCCGAAAGTTTCTGTAGGGAAAATGGGCCTATTTGTTAGGATGCTAAATACTTATACACATAGGTGTGTTACATCAGGGATCTTAACAGAAAAGGTGCCAACAACAAGTCAACACCTCAGGACTGAACCCTTGGGAATAAGCATTATGTGTTCCTGTGTTCTGGAAGTGCTACTGGGGAGGAAGACTGAAGAAATGGAGTTAGACCTTTGACTTTTTGTATATTTGTGATGTAACTTTCTGGACAGCAAGAAAAAACATCTCGTATTCCTTCTTTAAAAATGTATTAGATTTGGTGTCATGAAATAATCTTGATAGTTGGTGTTTCTTCTAGTGCAGGAGAGGAAACTCCGATTAACCTCGCCGTTGCTCAGGCATCTTCCAAGGATTCTGGTGTTTACGGATGCTCAATCACAAACGAATATGGAACTGACTCCACAGACTTTCTACTTAGTGCAGAAAGTACTTTATGTGCATTACTTATTCTATTTTGTGAGCAACTTGCACACATTTGTCTCTTACCCTTCTTCCCCCTGATTGTTTTGCAGTCTTGGCTGGAATGTCGCTGCACGAAGCCCTTGGTGGTGAGTTGAAATTTGCACATTTGGATCGCGGCCCCTCCTGTGATTTTCTGATCGATTGTTTATTTGATCGTCTGTGCAGTTGGGGAGGAAATTGAAATGACTCCGCTGATATTCACCAAGGGTTTAGCTGATTCTGGCACCTGGGTCGACAAATTCTTTGGACGTATAATGATGGCAGAATCTCACCTTGGGGACGGCTGTTCACATAAAGTCTGGAGGGCAAAGGTCATCTACGGTCTTGAGCCTGTGTTCGAGTCCGGTAATACTTGTGTGATTAAAGTGCGCAGCCCCATCACCTACGGAGGCAAGGAGGACAGCAGCCTGATAGAGAGGAACCTTGACATCATGAAGAAGGTACTTCAAAAGGTTTCATTTCATAGATTAGCCATGGTGTCAATGTTAAAGTAAGTCAGGTGTCATCTCTGCCACCCACTCAGGATTAGTGTGGAAATAATCATATTAGGATTAAATAAACAGAATGCGGTAGGTTGAGCAGATCTCTTACTGGCTGTTTTCCGATGTTTTGCACATAGGAATGTAAAGCTCAGAACTTGGCTCGTGAATACTGCAAAATCTTCTCTGCAGAAGCAAGAGTGGTGGAAAACTTCGGACCTTCTCTTGAGTGAGAGTGATTAGTTTAGTCCTGATAATGGTTACCTTCATTCTGAGTATTTGACACAGAGCCGAGTCCTTAAAACTCGTGTTTGCTGTACAGGGTCATTCCGGTCTACTTGATTTACCGACCAGCCAACGCCGTGCCCTACGCCACAGTGGAGACTAACTTAGAAGGAGTGTATAAGAAATACGCTGACCTGGATCACACTGGAGGAATAGACATCAGGACCGGTTCTGAGGTAGGGCAGAAGTGCTCCACCTTTCAGCACTGGATCTTTCAGTGGACTAATGGGAATCTGCTGTTGACGCGTCTTGAAGGTGAGAGCCTAAAGCTTCGGAGTTTTTATACCGTATGTTTACTTTGATGTAGCTATAGATCAGAGATCTGCAACCTTCACAGTTCAAAAAGGGTTCTTCCTCTCAGTCCACAAAAATAAAGGATGTTTAAAGCTGCAACTGTTACAGGACGATTTATAATTGTTGTGAATTTTCTACGGAAGAGGATTGGGGCCACTGAAAAGTGAGATCTTTTAACCCTAAAGTCTTGTTCACAACTGAGAAAAATTTAAAATTTTGCTAAAGGAATATGGATTTATGTTGATAATTGTAGAAAATAGTGTAAAAACAATTAGATCTAAAAATATTACTGGTACTTTTAGCATCATTCTGTTGTAGAAATCCAGTGTGATTGTCCATGAAAAATGTTGCTTCTTAAACCTGCATTTTTATCATATTTTTATTAAAAATAACACTTCTCTGCCCTACTGGTTGAAAGTGGTATTGCAACTGTCGTGAACAATCCTGCTGTAGCTAGCGCTAACAACAAGCTAACACATGAGTCATCTAATACTAAAGTAAACCATCCGGGGTCGGGTCATGGGGGCAGCAGCCTAAGCAGGGAGACCCAGACTTCCCTCTCCCCAGCCACTTAGACCAGCTCCTCCGGGGGAATCCCAAGGCGTTCCCTGGACAACCGTGAGACATAGGGTGTTACTCAATGTCAGGACATTGCCTTGCTTACAATGACACTATCCTTTCTTGGTCAAAGAAAACGGTTACCTGGAACAGACTTGCATCACATGATCGCAGCTTCTGCGGCAGTCATTTAATGTCATGTGACACAGGAAGTAATGTTATAATTTATGCGTATACGTTTCAATTTAATATAGAAAGAGCCTTTTGTTTTTTTATTGTGTATATATTTCTTAAATTAAATATGTACTACCTGCTAGCCACTGAAGCTGCAACTACTGAGCAACCAACCAACCATAGATTACTGCTTTGCATAAAAAGATTTTAGAAATCAGCCCGATAGCTACAATTAGTGGACTTACATTTAAGCTGGAAATTTACCCCCAAAGTCGCTGCTGGCTTCTGATCCGCCATCCTTTTGAAAATGCTGCGCTGTATTCTGGGAAATTTTTGACCAAGGCAAGGCTACAAGGCACCTCCCATGTATCCTTGCTCAGCTAGCTAAATGGCTAACAAAAGAAGAACAGACGCCTCGGTAGAACATGACCATTGGAACATTCCTCAGCGGTTCCTGATGACGTATCTCCTAGGCCAGCGTTACCCTGGTCCTTGGGGCACACGGTCCTACATGATTTCCATGTCTCTTCTTCAGCACACCTGATTTGCATTGGCTCCTAGCTCAGAAGGACATCAAGTGCTGCAGAAGCCTGTTAATCACTCATTCATCAAGTCATGTGTGTGGCAGCAGGGAAACACTGGTGTTTGAAAGGGCAACATGGAAAACACGCAGAGCAGTGTGCCTTGAGATCCAGGGTTGGGAATCACTGTCCTAGGCAACCAGGGCGGGACCAAGACATCAAGACAAGGTTCCTTGGCATTGAGAAGAACCCAAAGTCTCTCCAGCGTGGGTCCTTTAGATCTACAATAAACCATAAATGAAAAAGATCCACTGTTGGACAAATTATAGTATTACTTACAAGCCTAGAAGCAACAAATTTGGCAGGTCACCATCAGTCTGTGATTTTGTAGCCTCCTTTAGCTTCCTCAAAGTAGCCTAGGCCACGCCAATGTTCACTTTGGTTTTTGCTCTTTGCTTCACCTCCAAAGACATTACTCTCTTACTTTTACTCCCAGACTCTGCCATAATGCCAACAGAAAAAGCAACCTTTTTTCTATTTCTTGTGCTTTTCTTTGAAGATTGGCAAACTGAAAATGTTAACCGCTAGCATAGCAGCTAACAGCCGTAAAGCAGGTAAAGAGCTCCCCCTATAGGACACCTACCTTCTCCACAAAACTGTCTACTGCAGTCTTTGGCCAGCAGAGGGCTACAGAGTGGTGTCAGATATGAGACTGGTCAAGTTTCTCACCCAACAATCACTGAGAGTAATGTTAAAAGCTCTGGCTTAAACTTCAAAAAAACATCTGTTACTTTACAAAGTTAAAGAGTTTGATTTAGATTATTTTTGTCCTGCACATTTTTAGGAAAATAATAAGCAGAAGACAAACCCGACATCAGGGTTAGAATAATGTGTTGAAGAGGCAACGGGGACACAAAGCTGCTTTAAATCATAAAGAAGTGTTGAAAAATGTCTAATGCCTATATTTATGTTTGTTTCTCCTGGGACTCAAACAACAACCAAAAAATAAAGGTTATTGCACGCTTTTATTTTGCAGGTGTTGACACTAAACTGACTGGTGTTGGATTTTCGGTCAAATCAACAGGGTGAGAGCATCTGTGTTGTGTTTTAGTAAATTATACAGTGAAAACCTTGTTTCACAGGTAATTTACGTTTCTGCTGTGTGTGGCTGCAGGCATCAGGGTTTGACTGCAGAAGGGAATCCCAAAGTTTTTGAGCACTTTGTCTCACATCACAAATGTAACTACTTCTGCGGCCTGCTTGGTCTGAAACCCCTGAAGGTCATGGACTCCTTAATGACTCCAGTGAAACCAAAAGGCTCCAGGAGTCCCTTACTTCAACGAAAGAAGGTTAGCAGCTCCTGCAGCCCTCAACTCAACAGGAAAGCTGTCGCCAGCCCCCGGCCGCCCAGAAAAGCTGAACAAGATAGCAGCAGCACCCCCATGAAGGAAAAAGCTACTGATGTTCCAAAAGTGGGTAACACACCATAGAAGAAGACCTAGGTAGGATGATAATAACGTAGCTTTTTTATTTAATTTGAATAAACACCATTCCTTACCTTCAAGCTACTTGATTTAATGGCAACATTTTTGTTTAAAATAGAGCAAAAATTGTGGTATAATTACAAATAATCCTTTAGGAATTTGTATTCTATTACTAACAATGAATAATAGATTAAAGCTGCCCTCAGGTCGGCGGATCTTTACCTGGAGCCGTTACATGTCTGCTGTAATTTTAAATGTTTATATTATAGATTTCAACAAAAATATGAATAAATAATAATAAACCTTGAGTAAAACAATTTTATTGGTGAGAATATATATAAATTTAGTTTATTTTAGGAATATTTGAAGCTACGCTAAGCTTCGGGTGAGGACACAGTTGTACAGGGAAAAAATTGTAACACGTTTTATTTTGCACGGTTTCTTTTTGTTGTTTTTAGGAACTGCTCATGTAATTGCAACTAGGTGTAAAATAAAAGAAGTTAACATTTTTGTCCGAATACATGACGTTCCTTTTCTAAGTCTCCCTTCTTATATTTATGCACCAATCAAAGGTCATTTCAGGGTAATTTAGAGAAAACAATTTAGTTTCAGCTCAACAAGTAAATTAAATGTAATGCTACTTCCATTTTTATTTTTTGCTTAAAACACTTCTTAAATTGCTTCCACAAATCAATGAAATTACATAAAATTTTCATTTTTATTGTTATTTTCCTTACGTGAGATAAATAAACATAACAGAGTAATTTTTTATAAACTAAAATTCTCATTCTTTGCTGACAGATAAAAATTTTCCTGAAGCAGGAGTGAGTTGTTCACCAAATGAGCCTCAAAGCTAAAAGCAAACCTGCAGTCGGAGCCCAGTTCAGAATGCACGAGGTTCTGAAAGTACGAGATCTCTGAGATAAAGCTGAGATTAGCCACGAAGAACTTTACATGAGAGACCTTTAAAGTCTAGCTTTGGGAGCCAATGGGAGTTAAAATGGGACCAATATGACCTCTCCTGCTAATTCACATCAAAACTCTCACTGCAGTTATTTGGATCAGCTGGAGGCCATTTTGAAGGAGTGCATATTTTGGAGCCTCATGAGAAACGAAAGCCTTCCTGCTCTTACAGCCAATCAGATGAAAGATCATCGCCTTGGTGTGCAACGTCGTTCATCACAGTGGACTCTTCACATGATGCTGTGAAGCTACGTGGCAGTTTTATTTATTTATTTTTACATTTATGTATTTATTTGTTTGTTTGTTTTAGCAGGTTTTTGTTGTTTAAATTGGTTCTGACTAGAGGTGGGAAAAATGATCGATTCTAAGATGCATCGCGATTCGGTCGAGCATGATTCTGCATCGATGCAGCAACGTGACATAATGAGATTTTCTCCCTATGTCTATGTCGATGTTTTGGACGTGCGAGGACAATAAAGTCTTGAGGTTTTACGACTACTTCTGGGGGCGGAGATGCAATGACATGCGTGCTGTGTTGCCCTAGCACCAATTTAAAACAAATGGCGGACAGGGATACAGGGCGAACATTACCAGTAATCAAAGATGCACCCGTTACATTTAAATGGGATGTCTGGGCTCATTTTGGCTTTTCTGAGCGAGACGGAAAGCTTGACAAGACGCACACTGTGTGTAAGGTGTGTCACACAAAACTAAAGTACTTTGGGAACACAACTAATATGACCAAACATTTTGAACGTTTCCACCCTGCGAGGACTTCTTCAGCAACAGCCACAAGAACAGCGAGCACATCCCAGCCAACGATTGAAGAAGCGCTGACATTTTTACCGTCTGCTTCGGAGAGAGGGAAGATCACCCATTCTGTTGCATGCTTTATTGCTAAGGATCTACAACCATATTCTGTGGTAGAGCATGCCGGGTTTCGCTACCTCCTGAAGACGCTCGAGTCTCTGTATAACCTACCGACAAGAAGACACTTCACAGAAACTGCTGTGCCTGCATTGTACAACGAAACCAAAGCCCAGGTAATGAAATCAATGAGTAAAGCTAGCCGCGTAGCCATTACATGTGATTCATGGACGTCAACTGCAACGGAGTCGTACGCAACAATAACAGCACGTTATATAAGCAACTGCTTTTATTAAGTAATGAAAAATTTAGTGTGAAGAATCGTGACGCATTTCAGACTCAAATCGAATCTTTAGGCAGATAATCGGAATCGGATCGTGAGGCAGGTAGAGATGCACACCACTAGTTCTGACACATCTAAGTAAACCAAAAACTGCTGTAAACTTACATTTTTCTTTTGAACAAATACTGTGAATAATGTTGGGTATGGAGTCACCAACTGCAAAGTGAAGACTGAAGTATTGAGAATGTTTGGCGGGTAAAGGGGATAACAAAAGGTCCGACTTTCATGTCAGCTGGTTCAAAACTCTTAAGTCTCCTTAAAAACAGGCTTTTAATTGTGAGATCTTCCTGGTTAAGTAAATAAAACTATTTATGTGGGATCACATTTTCAGGTCAAGTGCGAAAGGATGTGGTCTGATTTCTAATTTTCACTTAAAGGTGCAATTTGTAAAAATAACATCCTGTGGTCAAATTTGGGTACTGCAGTTTGTTTTCTAAACAAAAAGTCATTTTGTCTCTACTGTTCTGTGAGTTTCACGCTTGTTGCCAGTTGCAGACAAGAACATCCTAGATCGGGGTGCCCAACCCTGGTCCTGGAAGGCCGGTATCCAGCAGGTTTTAGTTTTAACCCTTCTTATACACACCTGAATTCAATCAGCAGGTGATTAACAGGCTTCTGTAGAGCCTGATGAACTGCCGCACAGGTGATTCAATCTCTGAATCAAGTGTGTTGGAGCAGAGAAACCACAAAACCTGCTGGATACCGGCCCTCCAGGACCAGGATTGGGCACCCCGTCCTAGATAATAAGCAAAGACAAGTCATACAAGTTGGTAAGAAGATAAATACTTTGTCATATCTGGTGTTTGCACACTTAATAAATTTTTTTACAGTAGAATGCCTCAGGCATTAGAGGAGTTTGCCATCTTGCTGCTAGCTAGTCCTGAACATTTCATAAAGGAAATAAAATGCCAAGATTGACTCATTATTCACTTCGCACATACATTTCACTGTAATATCCAGTTTTGGTAATTGAAAAAGTAGCTAGAGACATTTTTAGAACAGACAATTTGCTTCTAATTCACTGTTAGCATTGTTAGCTCAATGTTAGCCTTTAGCCTGCTTCACCCGACAGAGTAAAACAAAAAAATGTTGTGGCTTCTTATTGGTACAAGAAATAACTTCTGGGTCGCTCTTGTTTACATGGCTTCGGTTCTTTAAACAACTCTGGAGCTTTTTACTGGCCATAGTCAAATTACAAATACCGGTGGAGCAGCGTTGCTGCACCGTAGCTTGGCAAGCCTCTGGACTCATAGACTGTAAACAGTGACTGCATCCCTCGTTAGTTTTTTTGAAAGAAAAGTTTACAACCCCCCAGCCGACTGAGAATGAAATCTGTTCCAATGTAACCTTCCTTCCAACATGATTGAGCCATGAGACTTTTTTGTGATTATTTCACAGTAGAAATCTTACATATTGCTCCTTTAAGCAAATGATCTGTTCAGGCCCATTTCCAAAGACTTCTCCCTAACTGTTGCTGTTTGCATCAGTAACTGTAAGGAGCAACATCTTAGACAAGCTGAAGGACTTTACTTTCTGCTCAGACCTCAGCCAGTCGAGGGAGAAAGCTGCCCAGTTGGAGCCTGGTTCTGCTTTAGGTTTTGCTTCTGTCAAAATGTAATTGAATGAAATCTGCTGGTTTCCTGAATCGGATTACACAACTAGTCAGAACTGACTTGATTGTAAACCTGATATGATTTGGATTAGTCGATTTTTGCAGAGTCTTAAAATTGACTTTTGCTGTGATTCAGTGCTTAGAGTCATAAAAAACACGGGTGACCACCACAACGCCTGGACGACAATCCAATGGATTATAGTGTATGAAGATGTAGCGTAGGCAAATCGATGATTTTTATTTGTTATGACCAAGAAGATGTAATATTCTATGTAAATATGAAACACTAACCTGCGAGGTCTTCATTGTAATTATTCAGAAGATTCTATGATTTAATTCAGAAGATCTAGGTTATTTGCTTTTTCAGTGATCAACCACACTTCGTGTTACTTCGAGAAAGAGTCAGGTTTATAAAAGTGAGAATTTATTTAGCAAACAATTAAAACATGACTAATTAAAGGGATATTATGGAAGTTTGACAGCCAAAACATGTATAGAAATAATAAATGTCTTCTTCATACGTTCTCCTGCAATGCCCTGGTCCTGTAGAATGAGCCCTGGCATTTTTACTGTGATTGCCTGTTTTTCTGTAAAATCACAGAAAAAGAGAGCTGCTCGGGTCGAGCAGGCTGCTTCATGCACGTTCACGTCCTTTGAACGTTGTTTCAGCTGTCATCAGGAATATATATGTTACAGATACAGATGATGTCACTGGTGGTTTAGCTCACCTGGTAAGACTTCGGGCTTCTGAGCGGAATACCTGGGTATGATTCTGGATGTGAACATAGTTGTTTTTGAGTTTCTTTTTTACATTAATGGTATATTTTTTTACAGTAAGATGCCCAAATTTTTATTTGAGACTCGCCGAACAGCATTGAATTCACAGGTAAAAAAGATGTGGGTTCAACTTTTGTTTTGGAACAATTTTTCAAGCAAGGGAAGGGAATGATCTGAGCATGCAGGAGGACTGACCCATCTTAAACCTTTGTCGGCTGTGCTGAAGAGAAAGGTACAGAACCAAATTATTTAATTAATTAGCTGCGCGTTCTCCTGTCCTCTGTCCTCCGGGCCACACACACACACACACACACACACACACACACACACACACACACATACACACACACAAGGGACTGTCTCAGCTGAAATTTTCGTTAAGGAGTGTGCACGTACAGCATGCACGCCTCGTGCACGAGCCTCCTATTGAAGCTGGCGTTATGCTTTTGGCCTGAGGGAGCAATCGCGAGCATAAAAATTCAAAACTCCGTAAAGTCCCTTTAACTTAGCATTTACTGTGAGTGGATGTAACTAAACGTTATGAAGGAGCCTATGTGTGAATGCGATATCAGTCAGAGCTTCCTTATCAAAGTAAGCTGAGTTCTGGTGAAAAGAATTTGGTTTGCTCTAAGCTATAAAGTTCTTATCATCAGAAGCACATCAGATGCAATCTGTCATGTCTACTTCACCCGTTGTGGAGAGACCCTGTTGGTGGATCCGAAATTCGCAGGGGTCCGCTGGCCTCTGGCACCGGAGGGCTGTAGAATACCGTGGTACTAACTCTTCAGTCCAGAGATGTTTCGGGTCACAACAGCTGGATGGAACCGTGCGTCTGGCGGACTCTTAAGGAGTCTAACAATGTCAGCTTTGTTTCTGCAGGAGCTGTTTGCTCATCAGCTTTGCAGGTGCAAAAAAGTTTTTGACGACGTGTCAAAACCTTTGATGGTTAAAGAGGT